AAGCCAGAAGAGGCCTACAGAAATATTCCTTGGACCACAATTTGTTTAGCTATTACTCATTCAATGATTATTCAGTCATCATCTGTTTTATTTCTAGTTAAAAGTGCTACTATAACTATTTGGGGGTTTTGTGAAAGCTTTGAGTATATGCTTAGTAATGGGATCTCTGGATCAAATGTCTGAGAGACTTTTCTAATCACTTTGTTAGCATGATTCCATATGTTTTCCAGAATGGTTGAACCCATTTCATATCTCCACCAAGATTATTAGTGTGCTAGTCTTTTCACAGTCCATCTAACATTGACTATTTTTATCCTTTGTCATTATTATCAATTTGCTGAAGTGAATAGTTGGTGAACCGGAGTGATCAACCTTGCTTTAGTTAGGATCTAATTATACTAGTATTTAATTTAGCAATACAGTGTTCTACCCCTCCACCTCCCCTCCCTGCAGTCGGGTGACACTTACCAAAGGATTCCGTGATTATCATGCTAAATGGTTGATTTGTGGGGTTTAGTCTGATCACATATTTCTGGAGCTTTAGGAATATTTCCATAAAAAGATTTATCATGAAGCCACTTGATAACCATGTTCCTGTCTCCAAATCTTAATGTGAAGCTTTAGAACAATGGTGGATAATAGTAAGATTCTTATTTTCTCTATTGCCTCGCAGCTTATTTGTTACTGCATTGGGGAGGGGGGGGGCAATGTAGTATTATGATAAGTGATTTTACTTTGATTGTAAAATTCATTTTGAACCTCTTCCCACAGCATCCCATAATTTAATTTCTTCCAATCTCTAAATGTATTAGAATAGCTACAGTGCTATATTTTTCACAAAAGATTTGCTTTTCCCATGACATTGTTGAACTCTCATGATTCTCAGCATTCTTGTTTCTCTCTGTTCTTCTTTCAGTTTAAAAAAATTTTCTCATCTGGATGATTGAGCCCTTTGTCTCTATACTCTGGCACTTTCCCAGGACACTCTCATATTAGATATAACACGAAAGTGATAATTACTCAGTCTTTATAATTTTCACGGTTCCCTACTGGCTCTCCTAGAGTGAAGAACTTACTTCTGAGGAGTAAGGAGGTGTAAAAATTCAAAGCAGGGTATGCACTACTTTGTAACGCAAAGATGATGAAAGATGAACTGAAAAGAAAAGGAACAGAGGGAATGGAATATTGAAAGAAGACAAAGTAATGTCAAAACAAACTTGTAGGAAATTTATTCGCTATAGACTAGTGGATAGAGTACTGAAATAGGAGTCAGGAACCTGGCATCTCCATAGGAAAATTAAATTTCTGTGGTACCTTTTGTTGGAAGGATTCAAATAAAACTAAGTACCATGGGGCAGCTAGCTGGCACAGTGGATAGAGAACCTGAATTCAAATCCAGTCTTAAACACTTAGTAGCTGTGTGATCCAAGGCAAGTCACTTAACCCTAATTGACTCCAAAAAAAAAAATCCAAACCAATTTAGTGCCAGCGGTCTGCCTAGTACTCTGCCAAACTGAACAGCAGACTCTATGATTTACAGTATTCAGGGACATATAGGATGGTAATGGGGTAAGGGTTGGAAGTAAAAAGAAGAGTATCAGATTCAAACTGAGTTAGAGGCAAAGTCAGAGGCCAAGTCTAGGGGGTGTTGTAGGTCTATTTAATCTAGTTATAAAAATGAGATCAATACCATAGGGTTTTTTCCTTTTTTTATAATTTATTTATTTTTAGTTTTCAACATTCACTTCCATAAGATTTTGAGTTTTAAATTTTCTCACTCTCTCCCTTTTTTTAATCTCTTTGGGATATAGGCCTCGAAGTGGTATTGCTGGATCAAAGGGTATGCACAGTTTTATAATCTTTTGTGAATAGTTCCAAATTACTCTCCAGAGTGGTTAGATCAGTTCACAACTCTACCAACAATACATTAGTGTTCCAATTTTCCCACATCTTCTCCAGCATTTATCCTTTTCTTGTTTTGTCATGTTAGCCAATCTGATAGGTGTGATGTGGTACCTCAGAGTTCTTTTGATTTGCATTTTTCTAATCAGTAGTGATTTAGAGCATTTTTTCATATGACTATAGATAGCTTTAATTTCTTTCTCTGGAAACTGCATGTTCACATATATCCTTTGACCATTTATCAATTGGGGAATGACTTGTATTCTTATAAATTTGACCCAGTTCTCTTATATATTTTAAAAATGAGGCCTTTATCAGAGACACTGACTGTAAAATTGTTTCCCACCTTTCTGCTTCCCTTCTAATCTTGGTTACATTGACTTTGTGCAAAAACTTTTCAATTTAATGTAATCAAAATCATCCATTTTGCATTTCATAATGTTCTCTATCTTTTGTGTGGTCATAAATTCTTCTCTTCTCCATAGATCTCACAAGTAAACTATTCCTTGCTCATCCTAGTTTGCTTATAGTATCAGTCTTTATATCTAAATCATGTACCCATTTTGACTTTATCTTGATATAGGGTGTAAGATGTTGGTCTATGCCTAGTTTCTGCCATACTATTTTCCATTTTTCTCAGCAGGTTTTGTTAAATAGTGAGTTCTTATCCCAAAAGCTGGAGTCTTTGGATTTATCAAATAATAGATTGCTATAGTCATTGATTGTGTCTTGTGTACCTTATCTATTCCACTGATCCACCACTCTATTTCTTAGCCAGTACTAAGTAGATGATTGCTCCTTTATAATACAATTTAAGATCTGGTACAGCTAGGCCACCTTCCGTTGCATTTCTTTTCATTAATTCCCTTGATATTCTGGACCTTTTGTTCTTCTAGATGAATTTTGTTATTGTTTTTTCTAGTTCTATACAATAATGTTTTGGTAGTTTGATATGGTAGATATGGCACTGAATAAATAATTTGATTTAGGTAGAATTGTCATTTTTATTACATTAGTTTGGCCTACCCATGAGCAACTGATATTTTTCCAGTTATTTAAATCTGACTTTATTTGTGTGAAAAGTGTTTTGTAATTGTGTTCATATAATTCCTGAGTTTGTTTTGGCAGGTAGACTCCCAAATATGTTGTAATGTGTACAGTAATTTTAAATGGAATTTCTCTTTCTATCTCTTACTGTTGGACTTTGTTAGTAATATATAGAAATGCTGATGATTTATGTGGGTTTATTTTATTATTATTTCAAGTAATTTTTTACTTGATTCTCTAGGATTCTCCAAGTGTACTATCATACCATCTGCAAAGAGTAATAGCGTTGTTTCTTCTTTGCCTTCTGATTCCTTCAATTTCTTTTTCTTATTGCTAAAGCTAACATTTCTAGTACAATATTGAGTAACAGTGGTGATAATGGATGTCCTTGTTTCACCCTCGAACTTATTGGAAATGCTTCTAGCTTATCCCCGTTACATATAATACTTGCTGATGGTTTTAAATAGGTGCTACCTAGCATTTTAAGGAAGACTCCATTTATTCCTATGCTCTCTAGTATTTTTAATAGGAATGAGTGTTGTATTTTGTCAAATACTTTTTTTGCATCTATTGAAATAATCACATGATTTTTGTTAGTTTTGTTGTTGATATGGTCAGTTATACTGATAGTTGAACCTAATATTGAACCAACCCTGCATTCCTGGTATAAATCCTACCAGTAGTACCATAGTTCTTGAGGCTCACAACCCTGGGAGGTGCTGCTGATTAGTAAGATTGTGTGGAATAATAAGAATTTTATGTTATTAATAGCTGACACAGCACATTAAATTTTCCAAAGTGCTGAGGCTCACAACAACTCGTGAGATATGTGCTTCAAGTGTTATACTCATTTTACAGAGGAGGAAAATAAACTCAGAGAGGTTTAAGCGACTTGCTTAATGTCTCACAAGTAGTAAGTGTCAGGCAGGATTTGTGGTTCCAAGGTCAGCACTCTATATAGCACACTGCTTCACCCAGGGAAGAATTGAGGCTTTCATAACCAGACTAAACTTTGGACATAGGTTTGGGCTTTTGAGGTAGTTTTTCATGTAAATTTAGTGGCTTAAGCCAGATTACTGACTCAATCCTTTATTGGGGAGTGGATACCTAAAGAAAAGAATATGTTAAGAATTATAGGTTCTGATTTGTAGGCTTTCTAATCCACTGCAATAGAGATTTTCTTTTTAAGTAAATATTTCTGGGGAAGCTAGATGGTGGAGTGAATAGAGCTCTGGCCTTGGAGTCAGGAGGACTGGAGTTCAAATCCAGCCTCAGACACTTAACACGTACTAGCTGTGTGACCCTGGGCAAGTCACTTAACCCCGATTGCCTCACCAAAAAGCCAAAAAAGTAAAAAACCAAGAAGATATTTCTTTCCCAGCTTCTAGCTGTTCACAAGAGTACATTGGAAATTACAGAGCCAAACTGAGATTCTCAAGGAAGCAGTGAAGCCTAATGGCTTTGACACACTGCATCTAGGTCTTCTAACCCCTAACTTCATCCTGGACTTTGTAACTTTAGGCAGGTTCCTTAGTCTCTGCATTCAAGGCACTCTTATCCACTGAGCTACCCAGTTGCCCTGATATCTGTATTAGTGTTTTACTTTATGACAGAGATTCTTATCTTGGGAAAAATAAGCCCCCCACCCTGCTTCACATCCTGTCCTGCCATCTCCCAGGAAACCACTGCCATCTCTCCCACTTTCTCATCTGCATAATTCTCCCTTTCCACTTCTTGCTCTGGTAAAAATAATATAGTCCGTGCTATCATTACTATGACTAGATTTACATACGTGTCTGTATCAGTGTAACAAAGCTGGGCCACTTGAAACTTATTTAAATTGTTTAACAACCTTAAATTTATTTATTAAATCTGTAGGCTTCTTTATGGAAAGGTCATGAAATCCATATTGACATAAAAGTTCAAGTGAAGAGAGGAGATAGTGGTTTGAACTTTTCTCAGGTTACACTTAATTTCCACAAAAACGGTATCTTTATGAAGCCAAATGATTATAGTATATGCTTCTAATACTGTTTTGTCTCTCTTTTTAGCCACTGATGACATTGTAAAGGTTGAAGTCTGGGATGTAGTTGACAAGGGTGAGTCATCCCCTCCTTTTTTAACCTGAAGTCCTCAGTTAGATATGTTTTTTGCATGAAAATCAGCATAATTTCTTTCTTTGCTTTTCTCCTTCTTAAAATGTTGGATAATTTTTTCCTCTGTGTCAAACAGCCTTGGTTATGAACAGTTTTATGATATGGATGTTGTACGTTCATTATCAAACTTAACTTCTGATTCTGCTGGTACAAAAAGCTATTTACTGCATATTGCAGCCTGTCCAAGGAAATCAATTTTCTCTTTGTTTGTTTGTTTGTTTGTTGGGAGCCACTAATCCTATTTATGCATGGGTTTTTTGGGGGGGGTTTTGCCATTTAAATAAATTATTTTTTATTCTGTTTATGGTTTTAGTATACTGCATTAGCTTTTAAGATAGAATAAAACAAAAATAAACTCCCCTAATGCCACAGTGTAAGATAAGAGTCAAGAACATATCTTTTATTCAATTTTATCTAGTAATTCTTTTTCAAAATAACATTTCTGGTTACTTTGCCAAAGTTTCCTTCTTAAATCTGTGGTGAATCCTTGATGAATCCTCAAAATCTGGCAAAAGAGTGGATTTATTCAAGATAGTAGTATCTTAGAAAAATGAGTTTAAACACTGTCCTAAATTCTTAAACATAAGGAAATATGTCAAACCCTAAGTTCTGAACTTGTCATGTAAAACTGGAGAGATTCACATGGAATATATTTACTAGAACATCAACCTTATGAAATCCCAAGAATTGGGTTATTCTACTGTCCTTTATTCATGGGTCCTTAGGTGCTCAGCTCCTTTAAACCTCAAAAGATATTTTAAAAACTGCTCAAAATTTTTTCTCCATCATAGAAAAAAGTACTCTTTTTGACTCCTAAAAGATAAAATAGTATCGGCATTATTCCTGTGATGCTTTTTCAACTGTGGAATACATACATATACAAACTAATACCAGACTCCATCAGATGCTGACTGAAACTCAGTCAAGTAGTTTTTGTTGGTTTTTAAGGGGAAGTGAGAAAACTGGCAGAGAGTGGGTTTTAGTCCATAACAAGGAGTGAGGGAGTGGATAGAAACATCTTTTCTAAGAGTTCCAGTATTGCTGATTTCAGCACAACACCAAGTAAGCTGCCAGAATCCTGCAGCCTCCAACTGCCAACATTGGAGGTCCCAGCACACAAAGCCATCGACCAAGCCATAGGCTCCCAACACAAGAAGCTTGGGTCAGTGCCCTCTGCTCCCCAGCAGGAGAGCCCAGTCTCTTTAAGGGCCAGGAAATAAGCAAACACCATGAGCAAAAAGAAACATATGATAGATTCTTATTATGGGAAGAGTGAAGATCAAGGCAGAAATTCTGAAGAGGACAACATTGTCAACAAACCCATATCTGGAACCTCAGAAGGGAATATGAACTGGTCTGAAGCCCAAAAAGCCGTCTTAGAAGAGCTCATGAAGGATTTTAAAAGTCAAATGAGAGAGATAGAAGAAAAAATGGGAAAAGAAATGAGAGGTATGCAAGAGAGAGTCAATAGCCTGGAAAAGGAAGGACAAAAATTAACTGTAGAAAAACAAGTCCTTTAAAAAATACAATTGGCCAACTGGAAAAAAAGTACAGTGAAGAAAACAAGTCCCTAAAAAATAAAATTGGCCAAATGGGGAAGGAGGTACAAAATCTAATAGAAGACAACAATTTGTTAAAAATTAGAATTGAGCAAATGGAAACTAATGACTCTATGAGAGAGCAAGAATCAGTCAAACAAATACAAAAGAATGAAAGAATAGATGGAAACGTAAAATACCTCATTGGTAAAACAACTGACCTGGAAAATACATCCAGGAGAGAGAATTTAAAAATCATTGGTCTACCTAAAAATCACGATGAAAAAAAGAGCCTGGACAGTATCTTTCAGGAAATCATAAAGGAAAACTGCCCTGAGGTTCCAGACCCAGAGGGTAAAATAGCCATAGAAAGAATCCACCAATCACCTCCTGAAAGAGATCCCAAATTGAAAACACCAAGGAATATAGTAGCCAAATTCCAAAATTACCAGGTCAAAGAGAAAATACTGTAAACAGCCAGAAAGAAACAATTTAAATATCATGGAACCACAGTCAGGATTACACAGGACTTTGCAGCTTCTACATTAAAAGACCGTAGGGCATGGAATATGATATTCCATAACGCAAAGGAGCTTGGATTACAACCAAGGATCGACTACCCAGCGAAAATGAGCATGATCTTTCAGGGGAGGAGATGGCTATTCAACGAAATAGGGGACTTCCATACCTTCCTGGTAAAAAGACCAGAGCTCAACAGAAAATTTGATCTTCAAATATAAGACTCAAGAGAGACATAAAAAGGTAAACGGCACAGAAAGAAACAACATGTTATTAATAAGGCCAAACTGTTTACATCCCTGTAAGGGAAGATGACACTTGTAACTCTTGAGAACTGTACTGTTATTACACCATGTTAAAGGGGTATACATAAAGGGGGTGTGTATAAATTGACTTTGATGCAATGATGAAAAAAAACCTAATCAAGTGGGTTAAATGGATCCAAGTAAGTGAATTAATCTGATCTAACTAAGAAAATGTACTGAGAGAAAAGGAAAGGAGGAGGCCGACAAGGGTTAATTATATCACAGGAAAAGACACAAAAACCTGTTAACAGCAGAGGGAAAGAAGGGAAGGAGATGAGCATTGTTTGAACCTTACTCTCATCAGATTTGGCTTAAGGGAATAACATAATCAGGCATAGAAATCTAACATGCCCTATAGGCAGTAGGAGGGAAAAGGGGAAAGGGAGGGGGCTAATAGAAGGGAGGTGGGACTGAGGGAGGCAGTGGTCAAAAGCAAAACATTAGTGATTAGGGAAAAGGAGAAAGGAAAGCATAAATGGGGGGAAAAGGATGGAGAGAAAGATATAGATAGTAATCATAATTATGAATGTGATATGTGAATGTAATGGAATACTATTGTGCTATAAGAAATGATGAACAGGCAGACTTCAGATAAACCTGGAAAGACTTGTATGGTTTGATGCTCAGTGAGGTGAACAGAACCAGGAGAACGTTGTACACAGTAACAGCCACATTGAGTGATGACTGACTTTGATATACTTAACCTCTCTCAGCAATACAAGGATCTAAGACATCTCCAAAAGCCTCATGATGGAAAATGCTATCCACATCCAAAGAAAGAACTATGGAGTTTGAATGCAGATCAGAGCATACTATTTGTTATTTTTTTTGTCTGTTGTGTTTTGTTTCTTCTTTCTGGTGGTTCCTCCTATTAGTTCTAATTCTTACTTACAACATCGCTAATGTGAAAATATGTTTAATAGGAATGTATATATATATAGCCTGTATTAGATTGCGTGCCATTTTGAGGAGGGAGGGGGAGAAAAATTTAAAACTCGAAAGCTTATGAAAGCGATTGTTGATAAATTAAAATCAATTAATAGTACTAAAAAAAGAAAAGTGCAAAAAAAAAAAGAAATATCTTTTCTAGCCATTTAATGAAATGCTGTTTAATAAAATGTCTGAGGTTTCATCCGTTAACAATCTCTCATTTTTATTTCTTCTCATGCTCAGGGCAAAAATTTCTCCTCTGTGATTCTTTAGGTGAGAGTTTATACTAGTTGCATTAACCTTGCAATAGTAAGCATTTTTGCAGTGTAGTGCTGAATAAAATCTGGTGTTTTTCTTAACACATATTGATAGTTGCATGGTATCCTCCAATTACAAGGCTTTATTTGAAGTGGCAAATGCTCGAAATATGTGTAAACATGTAATTTCCATGTTTGTAGTTTCTAGCTTAAAGTTCATATTTTTCTTATCTCCCTCATATTCTTCCTGGGATACAATATTGTTAAGGATTTAGCAGATAAAGAACAATTTGGAACTGATTTATAGTACAAAATTATTTTTTTTATCACCTTGATTTCAATACTAAGTTTATGGTAATGAAGTTCATATAGCCAGAGGTACATTAAGCCATTCCAATTTAGCCTTGTATTGACTTACACTTTAAAAACCTCTTTTCTGCAGTGCTTTTAGTTTAGGAGTTGCTTCCAGAGAATTACAAAATGTCTCATTATTCAAAGTTCCAATTATTATTCCACATTATGAAAAAGGCAATATTCTCTTGCAGCCATTTGGTAGTTGTTAGAATCTGCTGTTTCTATTTAACCTAACAGTGTTTGCCTCCTAGCCTTGCTATTGGCTTAATTTCCCCCTGTAGGCTGCTATAAGAATTCAAGAAGCAGGTTTGTTTTTTTCTACATACCTAGTGAACAGTGACTCGGCACTGGATTTTTTTGTAGTGAAGATTTTAATTATCCCTAAACTAAAGCCTTTCTTCTTATCTTGAAGTGAAATTATTATCTTGAAGGTCAGTAATTTCCTGAGTCAAAGACTGAATTGCCTTTTTGTTTTGTTTTTGCTTCCTAATTCTAAGGCTCCTTGGAAATTGTTTGTTGTGTGTATTTACTTATAGATGTCTGTGGGTCTGAGGGTGTTGATTAGACTTTATAATTTGAATTTCTAAATTATGTTTTTAGATGGTGGTTTTTAATTTTTTTCGTCTTACACTGGGGAATCCATCTAAAGCAGGAGCTTAACCTGGGGTCCACAGATAAATTTCAAGGATTCTCTGAACTTGGATGGGAAAAAAAAATAAGTCTTTATTTTCACTATCCTATGTATTTTATGCATTTAAAAAACATTGTCCCTGCAATAAAAAAGGTTTAAGTGCACCTGGTCTGAAGTATGCTTGATGCCCCTGTTGTGATGTTGGAGGCTCTTGTGAGTATCAGAGAAGTTGGAAATTGTAATATATCCATTATCACCACCTTTGTTTTGAGGAACTCCTAGAGATAGTTCATAGAACAGTGTGAAAACCCTTTCAAGCCGATACCTGTATTTTCAGTGTATTTTAAGATAGGTCATAATGCATTTATACTTAATTTATTTATATAATGCATTATACTGCATTATAATGCATTTATACTGCCAGACAGTACCTTTAAGCAAAGTAGTTCCTGACATACTTAGTTCTCTTTCATAAGTCATTATTAGCTAAGTGTCAGTTAGTACCATCTGTTAACTTGGAGATGAGATGCATAGCAAAGTCATTTGACTCTTAAAAATCTAAGATGGCACCTGAAGTCTAAATATAAAAGGAATTGAGGCAGCTCAGTGTCACATGGATAGAACAGTGTGGATCAGGAAGACCTGGGTTAAAATCTGGCCTCAGACACTTTTTGGCTGTGTGACCTTAGGCAAATCACTTAACCTCTGTTTGCCTCAGTTTCCTCAGCTATAAAATGGAGATAGTAATAACACCTACCTCCTAAGGTTGTTGTGAAGATTAAGTAAGTTAATGATTGTAAAGCACTTAGCACAGTGCCTAGTAGATAGTAGGTACTATGTAAATGCTAGTTGCTATTATTATTATAACTATATACAAGATATATACAGGATAGATTAAGAGTAACTTCAGAGGGAAGTTATTAAGATTGAAGACTAGTAAAGCCTTCTTGTTAAAGGTAGAACTTTAGCTGAAACTTGAAGGAAGCCAGAAGACAGAGTGTGAAAAATGAGAGCGTTATAAGCATGAGGCCAGCCAATAGAAATGTCCAGAGTTAGGAGTATTGTATGAGAAAAGTAAAGAAGCCAGTATCATTTGACCTCCAGATATATGGAGAATAAGGTATAAGAAGACTGGAAAGGTAGAAAAGGGGCCAAGTTATAAAGGTTTTAAAAAGACAAAATGTTATACTTGATCCTGCAAGTAATAGGAACCACTAGAGTTTATTGAATGGGAGGGATGGGTGACATGGTCAGAACCACATTTTAGGAAGATCATTTTGACAGCTCAGTGGAGAATAGATTAGAGTGAGGGGAGATTTGAGACAGGAATTCCAACCAGCAAACTTTCACAATGGTTTAGGCCTAAAGTGATGAGAGTGAATACCAGGGTAGTGGCAGTGTCAGAAGAGAGAAGTGGGGGTATGTGAGACATGTTACTAAGGCAGAATCAACAGCATTTGACAAGTGATATGGATATGGAGTGAGTTAAGAGAGTGAAGAATCAAGGATGATACCTAAGTTGGGAGTCTTGGTGACTGGGAGGATAATTGACAGTAAAAGGTAAGTTAGGAATAGGGGAGAGTTTTTGAAGGAAAATTATGAATTTTTAGACATGTTGAGTTTAAGATATCTACAGGACATCCAGTGCATGATATCTAATAGCCATTTGGATATGAGAGACTGGAGGACAGGAGAAGAGGTAGACACTAGATCTGAGAATCATCTGTATGGATAATTGAAACCATAGGACCCTGCATAGACCCTTATGGAATTGCCATGGTTAGCGAGTGTGACATAGATGAAGATCCAGCAAAGGAGACAGAAGGTATGGTTACAGATAGGAGGAAAGCCAGGAGACAGCAGTGTCATGAAAACTGACTGACATCTCTATTCTATTAAAATCAGTAATATGATTTTGGGGAGTGGGGGGTGGGGAGAGGAAGGAGACATAGAGATGGGAATGTAGTTTGTAAAGGGTTTTGTTTGGAAGTATGCTGTATTAAAGCAAAAGGTAGCATTTTTTTTAATGGGGGAAAACATCTCAGAGGACTAGCTTGTAACCACATACCTATGAATAAGCAGTCATACCAGATCTTTATAAATTTTTACATTTAGGGTTAAAACAAGCCATTTTCATGTTAGTTTCTCATAGAAACTAATTTATCCTTCTTTGGAAAAAGGGGAATGTGGCTAGAATTGATTTAAGGCAAACAGGACAGAGAGGAAATGGAAAAATAGGCTAATATTTAATAATAGGTATGTGTAAATGTGTATGGAGAAAGCCTTAACTTCTTACCTGGTGCCTTTGGTATCATTTATGTCATTTGCTTAATCCTATATATTGGACAGCCGTACTATTGCCTAGTTTTTTGTTCTTGGTGTTTACTAGTAATGTGGAAACAAAGAGCCCCAAGTTTCAGATATGCTTGCTGTCAGTCCTTTTAATGTTACTTTAAAAAATCCCAATTAATGTTGAGTTTAAATTTTTTTGATGTGGAAGGACAGCCCTCTATACCTCTCAGAACCTGTCATCCTTACTTGTTACTGTGTTAGAAGTATAATTTGAACACCAATCTACTGTTTTTAGTTAACCACAGTGCAGTGAAGGTTGGAGCTGCTGGAATGTAATTAGGGCAGTTTGGATCACAGTGATTCTAACCTCTTGTGGGTTCACTTGTTTAACCATTTTATAATCCCTTAGTGATTACAGCTGAAGCTGATTTTTTTTTTTTATTAATACCAGAATGATGAGGAGATGTGGTATTGAGTGAGCCATCAGGCAGTCCAATTTGGAGCATTATGAGTTTCTAACAATCATTTGAGCATCTTATGAAGGATAGGTTATTCAGTTGATCTGCCAAGCTTTCTCAGAAAATAATCCATAATCTTGCAATGTTCCTTTGTTATAATTTTGATTCTAGTAAAAGTAACTCTTCAGTTTATTTGTATGGTTAACCAAGATGCTATGGCAGCTTATTCCTTGCCTATACTTTGTCTCTCCTTAAACTGCTTTAAAAAAAATGGAGTGTTGTTTCTTCCATTAGAATGTAAAGTACTAGAGGGCAGGAACTGGGTTTTTTTTGTTTTTGTTTTTGTGAGGCAATTGGGGTTAAGTGACTTGCCCAGAGTCACATAGCTGGTGAGTGTTATGTGTCTGAGGCCGGATTTGTCCTCCTAACTCCAGGGCCTGTGCACTCGCTTTCTCTCACTCTCTCTCTCTCTCTCTCTCTCTCTCTCTCTCTCTCTCTCTCTCTCTCTCCCCCTCCCCCCCCTCCCTCTCTGTCTCTGTCTCTTCCTCTCTATCTCTCTTCTCCCGGATCCTCCTGACTGTAGGGCTGGTACTCTATCGACTACACCACCTAACCATGGCTCAGTTTATGAAACAGCGGTGTAGGGGTAGCTACGTGGCGCAGTGAATAGACCTCCAGCCTTAGAGTCAGGAGGACCTGAATTCAAATCTAGCCTCAGACACTTAACACTTATTAGCTGTGTGACCCTGGGCAACTTACTTAACCCCGATCACCTCACCAAAAAGAAGTGGGACTTACTGCCTCCAAGGTCAGTCCTCAGTTTTCTATATAGTACAGCTTCCCACAAGTCCTCTTAAACACTAACAAATTAATATCATGGTATAGTGGGAAAATGTGGGTTTGAGAGTCCAGAGGACCTGGACTCAAATTTTAAGTCTGCTGCTTAATACTTGTATAGGTCTCGAGAATTCACTTCATTTCCCTGGGCTTTCACTTACCCACCTGTGAAAAAAAGAAAAGATTGGACTAGAACCTTTCTGCCTCTAAATGGTATGATCCTATGGAACAGGATTAATAGAAAAGAAGATCTTAATCTTGTCTTTTGAACTTGGGATTTAAAAGTCACCAAAAATTATAAAAATAAAGTATTTGGTAGGATTTTAAAAAGCAATTTCCAGGTGATTTTTTTTTCTCTTGTTCATGAAGAGACATGATTAGAAGGGTCCAAAAATGAACATGAAAATAGGCAGGAATTTGGAAAGTTACCTGTGAAGTAGAATTAAAGGAATTTTGGGATTGTTTTGCCTATAAAAGAGGAAACCACCAATCAGCAAGCAATTAAGTGCCTACTATGTAGTAGGCATTATACAAGGTACTGGGGATACAAAGATAAAGATGAAAAGGTTTCCCCACTCGAGGAACTTAGATACTATTGGGAGAGACAACATGTACACATATTAATCATATATAAAACAATGTATACTAAATAAATACACAGTAATTCTATCAGGGAAACTTCATGGGTTAAGTGATGAAACTCAAAGCTGAGCTTTGAAGGAAGCTTAAGGATTCTAAGAGGTGGTGGTGTGGAGGAGTCTGTTTCAAGTCTAATAGAGAGCCTGTACAGAGGCACAGAGATAGAAGATGGAGTGTCATGTGACAAACAGCAAGAGGGTCATTGTGGCAGAACCAAAAGAGTACATGAAAGGGAATTCTTTATGATAAAGTATAAAGCTGGAAAGGTAGGCTGAAGCCAGACTGTGAAGACCAAACACAGTTTGTATTTGATCAAAAATTAACGAGAAGTAGTCAACAAGACTTAAAAATTGATTGGCTGTGTGAGGTGAGGAAGAGTGAAGAGTTGAGGAAGACTACAAGATTATGAACCTGCGTAACTCAAAGAATTATTTTGCCCTTATCTGTAATAGGGAGGTTCAGAGTAAGGGAAAAAATAATTTTTTTAGAAATAATGCGTTTGAGATGCCTATGGGACATCCAGCCAAAAATGACCCAAAGCAATTGGAGTTCAAGAGACAGACCAGGGCAGCTAGGTGGCACAGTAAACAAGGCATCGGCCCTGAGTCAGGAAGACCTGAGCTCAAATCTGGCCTCAGACACTTACTAGTTGTGTGACCATGGGCAAGTTACTTAACCCCAATTGCCAGGGAGACACCAGGATATATAAATCTAGGTGTCATCTGCTTAGAAATGATAATTACACCTTTGGAAGTTGAAGAGATCACTGAGAGAGTGTATTGAGAAAAAGCCCAGGACAGACCCTGACCATTTTTCTATATAGAAAAAGTTCTTGAGAAGATGATCAATACAAGGGTATTGAGAGGCTATAAAAATTCCCTTTCCTGTGGACCTATAAGAATTAAGATACATAGCCACCTGTTTTGGATGGGTTGAAGTCCTCCTTACAGATGTTTTATCACTCAGTGTCCTTTCTAGCCCTATGTTCTGTGACTCCAAAAGTATTGACATTCTGATAGCAATATATGATCCTTTCAGATTTAAAGGTAAGCAGTTTTATTATCACTGAAACATTTTCTTCTTTGGTAGTGGAAAACCACTTCCTTGGTTCTAATGAATAAAAGCCCAATTTGAGCTGTTTTCCCTGTTTTCACAAACACTGATCATTCTCTCATCTTTGCCCAGAAGAGTATATATAGCTAACTATTTAAAAACCAGCCATTGGCTTTTAAAGGAGTATTAGGTAACTTGTATTTTTTATCTGGTGAAATATTTTCCACTTTGTCATTTTCGAGGGGGAAGGGGATATAGAGATGAAGATTCACAAGGTTAGAAATGTTTCAGAAATTCTTTCTGACCTCCTCTGCTATCTGTACTTCTCAAACTTAAACCCATATAGAGTTGTAACCCACATTTTAAGATAGTGCTGAAGGGATCTCAAGTGGAAAAAGTTTTAAGAAACACTGCTAGTTTAAGTTATAATGAGGAGTCTATCTCTGTGCTATCACTGGTATACAGTGCACAGACATCAAAGCCATTAAGAGACAGTGACAGGAAGGAGCAAGAAGTCAAACTCTTAGAGTTACCATTTTCATGATGCCCATCAGAAGAATGTTCCTCACCTTTCTTCTAAAACTTTTCTTAAACAGGTCTAGGAACTAATTTGAGAGTATTGAGACCTTACCTTTCCTCCTAGGCCAGTCCTTGCAGCCTTATGATCATTTTTGCTGCTGAATTCATTAGAAGCAATTCACATGAAGGTGTCTAACACAGTTTTTCCAACACCCTATTGAAACTGCTTTGTCATGAACTAGGGCTTCAGGTTAGTGCAACCTGGTTTTTCTGTCTTTTGTTTAAAATAGTCTGCATATTTACATTGACTTGTATGCATCTTAATTTATGCTACATTTCTATTTTGAAATAATGTTGCATTTTACTTTCAGCTAAAACAGAGTAGGGAACAGTTAGAATAGCTCTAATTTCTTTTCAGGCAGCTGCTTCATGCTAGTTCAGAATCAGTGTTAACATTACTGTTTCTTGCCTAGGGCAGGGTTTCAATTTCACCCTAGCTTTCATTTCATTGACATTCATATGAAACTAGTTAGATGGAATTGATGCAGTAAAATGGTTCAAGTTCATAAGACAGGAAATACAGTGGGATGGGTTGCCTCATTAGCTAGTGAGTTCTCTATCATTGGAAGTAACCAGGCAGAGACTAGATGACTATTTATTAGGGATGTTTTAGAGGGGGAAAAGGTGAATCATGTATCCAAGCAATGTTCAGTAGCTAAACTGTGAAGGCCCTTCCAGCTCTTTATATTCTATAATTCTACAACAGTTATGCTTGCTTTCATATGGGTGTGAGGGAGAAAAGGAGGTGGGGAAGGACACTCCATCCCAGTAGACAGTTTTGCATTTTTATGTGTTTGGCAGTTCTAGCCCATAATTTATTTCTGTCTTTTAATAAGGAAAGTGCAAAAAACGAGGAGATGGTTTGAAACTGGAAAATGATCCTCAGGAGGTAAGCCGTTTTGAGATACTCAGTTCTTCATCTTCCTCAGATATATATATTTTTTTACTGTTACAGGTCTGTTGTTTTATGCTCATAATGTATTTCCAAGTTAGTTTATTTGATAATCCTATAAAAAGTCTGTATTTTCAGCTTTGTAATTAATGATGGCCCTTTATTATTCTGGATTCCCCCCCCACACCTGTCCCTCATCCTTACTCTCATCTCTCAAATTGAGTGCCCAGATCAGATCCACCTGCTTCAGGTACCGACACTTGCTGCACCTCCTCAGAGCCCATATATGGTAACAAATGGTACTAGTTGCCCATCCATATGCCCTGTCCATTTTGTTAGAAGCTACTTGTATCTATTACCTGGTTGTGCCAAACATCATCTGAATGATCTAACACATTTGTGAAGTATATATTACCTTTTTTTGTCTCCAGGAGTGACCACCAATATTGGAGCTTCCTGAGTAGTGTTTTAAGTTAATTGATCACTCCTGAATTGCCCTTCACAAAAAATCTTAACTCTTAAGTAGATTTCAGGGTGAAGAAGTTGATTTGAAGAAAAATTTATTCTTCAGCCAGTGAGACACTTTAAGCATCAAAGTGGGAGAACACAAGCTCTCTAAAGATAAATTGAAGTAGTCAAAAGATATACTGTGTTCACAGTGAAGGTGGACCCTTCTTTATTTCAGAGATGTACCAGTGCCTCACAGCTGCTGGGTACTTTTCATTTATATGGCGACATATTAGGCTATTGCCTATGAGATGCTGGAATTTAGGATCTGACTTTATTGTTTTTTTTTTGTTTTGTTTTTGCTGGACAATGGGGTTAAGTGACTTGCCCCAGGTCACACAGCTAGTGTCAGGTGTCTGAGGCCGGATTTGAACTCAGGTCCTACTGACTGCAGGGCTGGTGCTCTATCCACTGTGCCATCTAGCTACCCCGGATCTGATTTTAGAAAGTGTGAACTTTGCTTCAGATGCTTACCAGTAAGATACCTGCAATAGTTTTTCTCTATTGCCACCTAAAACCAGATGTAAAATTTTGTATAGGCCCTAATTTCCAATAACTAAGACAATATTCCTCCACTAATAATGCCTCATTATGTAATAGAGGTGAATTTAAGTTCTTGAGGGCCATACCAATGGGACTATAAGTTCTAGCAGGTCCTACCAGGCTAGAAAGCTTTGAATAATAAGCCTTGAGATGAACTGTGTATCTTTCATTTGAGGATCAGTCTAGCCAGGTTTCTAAGGTTGTTTGGAGGGGATGAGACTGCAATCTTCATTAATAGAGTAATAACCATTTGAACTAATAACTATTTGAAAGTAATAAGTAATAAAAGTAAAGTAATAACTATTTGAAATGATAAACCTTTTGAAGTATTGAATATAATAATTTGGTGCTTTTAACTTTTTAAGTGTTTCATTGTGCTTTCACTTCCATTTTTGTCATTTTTTTTTCATAATATCCTTGGAAGTTGTAATACCATATCCATTTTATAGGCAAAGAACAGAGACTCTTAACAGAGGAATTAAGTGGCTTCTCCAGATCACAGGTTGAGATGACAAAGCCAATGTTAGAGAACACATATGTTCTGAATCCCAATCTAGTGCTGGGCCACACTATCAAGGAAATTTCAGGCACTTTGCAAATGGCTAGTATTTAATGCAGAGTTCTGCACCCTAGTTATGACATGCAGTGTTACTGGACTTGACCAGTCCAGCTGCCATGTCTGGAAATAACTTTAGAGTGAAATTCTGTCCTGATTGAAGAGGAGGAGAACCTCCGTAGGAATACATGAGACTTTTGTCAGAAGGCTGAAGTGAGTAATTTATTCTTTCCTAGGAGCACCATGGCCAGTTAACCTTAGAGTTTCACAGAAACAATAGATACGGCACAAAGTAGAAGAGGAACTAGGAAGGGTTACAACATTTTGCTAATTGTGCCCTAAAAAAGTTCTCTGGAAACATGTTATGAGCTAAACCAGAAAACATACTGTTCCAGAATGGCTGCCTATTCAAGCACTTTTTTACTTGCTTCTGTATACTAATTTGTTGATATAATGACAGAATCTAACCTTCTGAATCCTACAAGCTGAATATTGTTGATAATTTAGTGTAAATGACAGAATATTCTCAGTCAAAGACATCTGCCTACTTAACCTTTAAAAAGTTTTTTTGAGTTTCAAAAAATGTCTACAAATGCTTTTGGGGAAATGGAATTGTTTGTGATCTCTGTTCTTTCTCTTCCTAGGCAGAATCAGAGATGGCTCTCGATGCTGAGTTTCTGGATGTATATAAGAACTGTAATGGTGTAGTCATGATGTTCGATATCACAAAGCAATGGTAAGGAAGACCTAAGGTGGTTCTCTAAATTAATAGCCTCTCACTTATTTTTTTAGCAAAGTCAGTATGACTGTATATTCAGCATTTATCATGTAACTTAACATGGCACCCTACTTATTCGTCTGATAAAATGGCCAAAACAAGATGTCTTATGTCTCAGATTATTGCCTTGAGCTCTGCGTGTTTTTGGAAGATGTTATTACTAATATGTATATTTCCTAGCTGAGAACCAAAGCCCAGGGGTGGGGAACCTGCGGCTGCAAGGCCACAGGTTGACCCTCTAGGTCCTCACGTGCAGCCCTTTGACTGAACCCAAACTTCATAGAACAAATCCCCTTAATAAAAGGATTTGTTCTGTAAAACCTAGACTCAGACAAAAGGCCACACCCGAGGACCTAGAAGGCCACTGAGGCCACAGGTTCCCTACCCCTGGCCTAGATAATACTTGAAGTTAAAATGGAATTTCATGGTCTTTATGTGAATATTAATATCAGTGTCTAAAAACAAAGCAAAGAAGGTTGATAGTCACAGGTTAGCTGGGTAAAGAGTGAACAAGGGCTAAGTTAGCTAAGTCAGGTCAGTCTTTGGCTAATGCACATTTACTGATCTCTTAAGCTCACCAATGCCACAATCTTCAGGATAGCCAAGTATCAAATATCTTCTTTATTCAGACTTAACCTGTATCACATTTGTACGTCTTTATGTATGTGTTTTGAAATATAATACTCACCTGATTACATAGACAATGATACCTTTATCCTCTTTAATACTTTACCAATGCCTTGGAAATTTATCTCTTGATTGATAAACACCAATACCATAGATCAGCTATTAATACTCAAGGAATATAGAACTTGCTGGTCATTTGACCTAGATGTTGCAGTACTATATACCACTTCCCTCTAGTACAATAAAAACCATAGCTCCCACACTTCAAGACAGGTTAGTAGAAGCTTTATTTAGAAACAAAATACACATTGCTATGAGGAAACTTATTTAACAAAGCAGTCCTCTTCCCCTTTACAAGCTTTTTTACCATGACAATTTGCAGTAGACTTATAAGGGGATTTGTCTGCATTTCTGCTTTGATACATAACTTTATCATTGTCTAGCCTATAAATACTGTCTGTCAGCTTTTTCCAATAGCAGGGACATGGATGGAAAGGGTTTTAAAAAACAAGGACAAAGAGCAGTGCATGAATTTTTTGTTTGAAATGGAATGGAATAGAGACCAGTTTCTAAAATACATGTACTCATGTCAAGAGGGAACATGCAGTGCTTCTCTCCTGTATCCCTATAGGGCTGGACACCCTAAATTTAAAATTGTGCCATGGAAATGACCTATGATTTTTAAAGGCTATGCCACTATATTCCACTGCCTGGAAGGTTATACCATGAAAGGCAGTTACAGTCCTGGAGACAGACTGTTTTATGAGGACTAGCATTGTCAAATATGAAAAAGTTTATTATTAGAGACTAACCATTATGTGGTTAGTTCTTTGGCCAAGGAAACTCAAGGAACAAAGAAAATTTCAGAATGGTTCCCAGTCCTGTGGCCCCCTTCTGTTTCTGCAGTCATTAGTGGAAAAGGGAGCAGAGGATGCTAAGATTCATATAGTTTTTAGACTACTATAAATACCTAATTTAACATGCTACTGGAAAAACTGAATCATAGAAATTTTGACAGTGTTGCTCTAGATGAAACCAGAAGGCACTCACTGTCCAAAGATAACAAGAAATATCATTTCTTGAGATGCTTGTCTTGCATTGCATTTCTCATGATGATCATTTTTTTTAAAGACCACTATCAAGATAATTATAGCTTACTTACCAATATCTGTTGCAGAGGATAAGGAGGTAAAGAAATTGTATGAAGAACTTGATAAGAACTTCCATATTAAGTGAGCATATACTTTAATACTTGGTAACTTGAAAGTGAAGGTGGATATAGGGAAGGGTAGCCAAAAAAAAAAAATCAGAAAATGTGGTTTAGGAAAAAGAAGTAAAAGAATCCAAAGGTTTGTAGATTACACAAAATCCCATATATCATAAATTCTTTCATGAAAAGAGAACCTGGAGGTATAGTAGACATGGCAAATACCAAGTAACATTACCAGAAAACCCAAAATTGGTAAGAACTTAACAGTTGGTCTCATATTTGTATAACAAGTAAACTTCTTAGAGTAAATACTAATATCAGTTCCAAAGTAAAAGAAAGAATAAAAATAAAAGGTGGAATTTGATTAAAACAACTCTAGTCTGACCTACTTAAACAATGTGGGAAAAAATAGGAAACAGATAAAAGAACACACATAGATAGACCTGTCACCATTTTCTGTGAAAGTTTAATGTAAATTATTTGCCACAGTGAAGGGTTCAAAAAAGCCTAAAAATTACCTAAGCCAGCAAACATTTGATCTCCTTGCAAAACAGAAAGATAAGCAAGGGTAGTACTAATCTAGACTTGAAGCTCATTTGTAAAATCCTCCAGAGGAAGATGGTGAAACATTAGAAACAGTACCCAGTAAGGACCCAGACACTAGGCTTCCTGTCTCCTCAGACTGGCCCAGGTCTGGAATTTTTGTTCTTGCTCTTCCCTATCCTCTATTAAGGAAAGTAAAACAAATTACCATCCTAGCCTGGACCTGAGAAACAACTCCTCTTACTACTTTAATGGATGTAACAATCTACTGCCATATGGCTAGCAGACTGTCCTCCCTTCTTTGAATCCATGTAATTCATAATTCAAAGCTGTCTAGGTGAAAACTTCCTTCCCCTACTACCACTCGACCAAAACTGATCTAATTGCCAAATCCAGTAGACTTTTCTCTGTCTCCATTCTTTTTTACCTCTCTGCAGTCTTTGGCACTCAGTGACCCTCTTCCTCTTTCTTTTTTTTTTTGCTAGGCAGTGGGGTTAAGTGACTTGCCAGGGTCACACAGCTAGTAAGTGTCATGTGTCTGAGGCCAGATTTGGACTCAGGTCCTCCTGACTCCAAGGCTGGAGCTTATCCACTGCACTACCTAGCTGACCCCACCCTCTTCTTAATATTCTTTTCTCCAGGTTTTTGGGACCCTACTCTCTCCTATTTCTCTTACCTATCTAACCACTCTTTTTCAGGTTCCTTTGCGGGATCTTCATCTAAGTCATACCTGCTAACCATGGGTATCCCTCAGGACTCTGTCCTGGGACCTCCTCTCCCTCTATACTATTTCACTTGGTGATCTTATCAGCTCCCAGGGATTCAGTTATCATCTCTATGTAGATGACTCTCAGATCTACTTATCAATCTCTATAACCTCTCTGCTAAACTCCAGTCTCACATGTTCAACTGCCTTATTAGTCATCTCAAACTGATGTCCTATAGAAGTTTTACAGTTAACATGTCCAAAATCGAACTCATCTTTTCTGGAAAACCCTCCCTTCTTCTTAATTTTCCTATTACTGTTGAGAATACCACCTTCCTCCTGGTCACCTGGGCTTGCAACTGAGGTGTTATTCTTGACTCTTCACTCTCAAGCGCCGCTTCATACACATAAACATTCAATCTGTTGCCCAAGTCCTGTCATTTCTACCTTCACAACATCTCTCCTATATGCCTCCTTCTATCCTCTAACACTGTCACCATCCTGATACGAGCCCTCATTATCTAATGTCTGAACTATTGCAATGGCCTGCTACTTGGTCTGCCTGCCACAAGTCTCTCCCCTCTCCAGTTCATCCTCTGTTCAGCTGCCAAAGTAATTTTTCTGAAGTGTAGGTCCAACCATGTCATCCCCTTACTCAGTAAATTCCAGGGACTCCTTGTCGTCTTCAAGATCAAATTCGAAATCTTCTGTTTGACATTCAAAGCTCTTGATTACCTAGTTCTTCCCCTTCCCCCTTTGCATTCCCCCCATGTACTCATCAGGCCATTGACTTTTACCTCTTTGCTATTTTTTGCATAAAATACTCCATCTCTCAACTGGGCTTTTTTTTTTTTTTAAAGGCAATTGAGGTTAAGTGACTTGCCCAGGGTTACACGGGTAGTAAATGTCAAGTGTTTGGTCTGAGGTCAGATTTGAACTCAGCTCCTCCTGACTTCAGAGCTGGTGCTCTATCCACTGTGCCACCTAGCTGCCCCTTAACTGGGCATTTTCTCTGACTGTCCCTCACACTTGGCAAGCTTTCCCTCCTCATATCTACCAGCTGGCTCCCCTGGCCTATTTCGAGGCCCAGCTTAAATCTTATATTCTATAGGAAGTTTTTCCCAATCTCTGTTAGTTCCAGTGCTTTCAATCTGTTGATTAGTTCCTATTTCTCTCGTATATAGCTTGTTTATATGTAGTTTTTTGCTTGTTGTCTCCCCCATTAGATTGTGAACTTTTTAAGGGCAGGAACTGTTTTTTACCTTTCTTCTTACCTCCAGAGTTTAGTACAGTGCCTGGCACATAGTAGGCACTTAATAAAAGTTTATTGACTGATTTTGCTCTAGTTTTGAAGAGTTGGCAGTTTTTGTAAGGGCCAAGCCCTTCACTTTTGCCTTTGATCCTATCTCATCTAAAAGGATACCCCTATCTGTACTCATTTCCTCTCTAATCTTTAGTCTGTATCTACTATTCCTTCCCTGGTGCCTACAAACATGCTATATCTCCCCTGTCCTTAAAAAAACCTTCACTTAACTCTGCCTTCTCCTCAATCTCATGCCCTGTATCTCTGTTTTTTGGTTTTTTTTTAAGTTTTTGTTCTGAATTTAATGAACCTGGGGAAAAAAGGAAAACATTTCCATATACAAAGTAGAACAGAAAAAGAGGATTATATGTGAAATGATGTACAACTCATTTTATATATATATGTATGTATATGTATTTATGTATGTATATGCATATAAATTCAGCATGTTACTTATTTTTAGTAAGTTTTTATCCATTTTTTACATCATAATTTTCCCCAGTATCCCTCCTCCACCTGCCTATTTCCCCCCTTCAGAACCATTCCATATAACAAATGGTGTTTTTAAA